CGAGGTCGAAGGCGAGAGTGACGGCGTGACGGGTCACAGCTCTCTGCCCATTTCATGAGCTTGATTCTGGCCTCTGCCTCCAATGTCTGCTAGAACGCCATTACCCACGAACCCAGCACCGGGATCCGGCTCTAGCTCGCGTCGCGAGAATAACCAGTCCAGTTCATCGACGGCGTCAGGGCGGAGTGAGCGCGGAAGCTCAAGAAGTGCAGCGCATGTGCGTTTCAATGCGCCTTCTGCCCCAAACAGCATAGCTAACGTCTGAATCAAGCCGGCTGTTGAGTCTGCGGTCACTCGTCTGCTGGTGGCAATCAAACAACTGCTGGAGGCGCTCACACAATGGAGTTTACTGAAGATTGACGAAACCAATGTCAGCGACGTGTATGTACGATTGGGGAACGACTTCAATGCTGCCGTCGCTGCATTTGCAGCCTTCAATATCGATATGGCGTATGTACTATACCGTTCCACATATCCGTATTCATTGATGGGTTTTTCCAGCGAGCTAATGACCGTTCCCGACGATTTACGAAATGTTCTGGAGCAATGCCTTGCAGAGGACGCTACTCCAGATAACCTGGAACTTTATCTTCCAACTGTGCGGCAGATAATCACGAATCTGCTGCAAGGCCTTCGCGGAAAGCAGTCCATATACCGACGCATAGTCTCTGACCATCGGCGGTCTGAGCAGTCGGGATCTGAGGGCGCAGTCAGTCGCTCGTCTCGCTCGCGTCGGGAGGGTTCTCATCGATCCCAGCTCTCCCGGACGAATTTTAGCGAGAATGATACCCCAAGTCCTCCGACGCCAACCACCAATCTGCGAGACAGGGACAGCGCTTCCTCGCGTAGGAGTACGCAGCAGTCGTCTAGTAGACGAAGGGATCCTAGTTCACCGTCATTCACTGCATCGTCGCTGAATGGGTCGATGAACGGAGATCAAGCTTTTGTCGGCGGTTTTGCGCCCACCGTGACGGAATCAGAGGTGAATCCTCAGCCGGAATATTCTCCCCAGCCCGACTCCCAATCCCGGAGAACGCGAACCGTTCCGCCCCCCATCGACCCGCCTCCCGCCGACACAGAGCGATATCCTTCCAACTCTCCAAACGATCGAACAGTGATGCTCCCCGCTACGCCAAACGTTCCAGCCAGCGTAAAGCGTTATTCACTAGTGGATAAACCTCTCGCCACGCCTGCCGTAGTGGTGGAACCGTCGAGTCCAAGTCCGGATCCTGACCGAGTTAACGGCTCAATCTCTCCTCCCCCTCCTCCGGAGACGCCGCCCATAGACGTTCTTCAGGCACCCGCTATGGCAAATTCCCTCGCTGCTCTCAAAAAGAGCGATACGCTAGAACGTAGAGCGTCGAAGCGCTTTTCGACTTATAACATATCGAAGATGACCGGTGCTCCGACTACGCGGGAGCGGTCGACGCGAACTGGAGCGGGCGCTGCGAATAGGCGGTCTTTGGCTGCTTCATCAGCATTGACGCCTGGGGATCTTGCCGTACTTACAGAGGTTGACGATGAGGAGCCAGCGGAGCCTCCTCTCCAGAGGAGTAATTCGAGGTCACGCACAAGTCCTGCTACACCTGAAAGACGCCAAGCTTCCACCCCTCCCGTACCGCCGCTTCCTGCAACTCCAGCGCGGACCCCCGAACCTGTGATCCCGACTGTGTCAGCTCCTCCCGAGCAGCCTGTGGTTGATGCTTCCCCTCTTGCGGTAGAACCAACGCGGAACCTCTCCCGATTCACGGTTTTCTTACAACTTGGGAGGGAAGTGAAGAAAGTGACAATGGAGCACGGCCTATCGTTCGCCTCGCTCCGGGTATTGTTCGTTGACAAGTTCTCGTACAATCCGGGACTCGAGAATTTTCCGGCCATCTACATTCGTGATCCGTCAAGCGGAGTGCAGTATGAGCTGGAAGACATGGAAGAGGTCAAAGACAAATGTTTGCTCTCTTTGAACATTGAGCGTACGTCTCCTTTTCGAACTCGTTCTCCTGTTTCTAATTATCTTTTCTCCATAGCCCTCGACCAGATCAAACAACACATCGACGCCCAAATCTCGAATCTGTCGCAGGACATCAAAGAACTCAAGACGGCTGTCCATAACAACAGGCAGTCTATACATGTGCCTGGCATTGTTGGACAACCGTTAGCGGAGAGCACTCCTGCGCCGAACAGACCGACCGACCGGCAGTTCCAGCACGTCGCTCGCCGCCTCTCGCGATTTGTCGGAGACGGCGCTTCTTTCGCACCCGCGGCGGCGGCCCCGATGCCCGCAATTCTCCCTCAAATGACGGGTCAGTCTCTTCAGCCTCAAATGACTGGCGGCTCGTTGTCCGATTATTCCACCCGCGTCGTCTCTGATCTGAAAACACAATTCGACGAGGTGCAGAACCTCCGGCGCGACCTGGGGGTTATGCGGCAGCTGTATACGGAGTTTATGAAGTCCACCAAGGATTCGCTGGGGACGCTCCGCGGACAGACTCAGTCCGTCAAGCAGCTTGCAAGCACCAGCGTTGGCGGGGCTCGGGGCTACATCGACACCGGAAAGAAGAAGCTCGATACGCGGAGTCAGAACGTGTTGACAGAGGTGGAGAAACTTCAAGACACCGTCGAGGGCGTGAAGGACGACGTGATCAAGCGCCACATCACTCCCAAAGTGCAGTACTTCCGAAACATCAAGAAGGATATCGACTCTGTTGCGACCGAGTTGGAGAGCTTGAAGGAGCACATCAATACGATCAAGCCGATGTGGAAGAAAACTTGGGAGGAGGAGTTGCAGAACATTGTCGACGAGCAGGGGTTCCTCACTCACCAGGAGCAATTCCTCGAAGATTTGCTGGAGGACCACAAGGCTTTGGTCGAGGTGTATGGGCACGTGGAAAAGATCATCTCCATCCGGGGTCCTGGGTCCGTCGGCAGTCGCGGCGGACGGAAAGGAGGAGGATTCCGTCCCCCGCCTCAGGAAGAGGGAAGCGGTGGGCTGAGCAACGTGATGCTCGAGATCCGAGGCGCGTCTGTAGATCCTGAGAGACGGATGAAGGCCATCGAAGCGAGTCAGAAAAGCCGGGAGAAGGAGCTCGCCAGCAGGTCAGACGAGATGCAGGCGGAATTGAGCGACTTTGTTGCAGGGAAGAAGCTCAAGATGACTGGAGGGGCGGAGGAGGCGGAGCGTGTGAGGCAGAGAAGAAATGACCAAACGCTGAAGGCTATGTTCACCGGCGGAGGGGGAGTGACCGAGATGGGTGCATTTGGTGCATCCGAATCGTCATGATCACGTTCAATTTTTCTCTTGTTTTCCCCACACATCGTACAATTCTCGCTGCATATTTATCTCTGCTCCACCCATAGTTCCCTAGCATTCGAGGCTGACACCCTGTATCTTATGTACTTCCTTGCTTTTGAGATGGTAGTTTTTCTGCATGAAGCATATGTCTCGCCAAGATCTACAGATTTACTGAAGTGGACGTCGGAAAAATTCGCTCAGACTTTCAATAACGAACCTCGCTGCTCATTGTATGTCGCGATCAGATTCATCTCGCACTACCTCTTCTGGTGGAGAAGAGGCCAAACCGCGCAGCCGGCGTGCAGACCTGAACGTCCTAAGGGATTTGGTGCCGGCTACAAGGCGGGCAGGCCAACGATTTGGGGTCCTGGCTATCGATGAGAGGAACTCGAAGACAAAAACGCAGGTTTTTACGAAATTGCCTTGCTCCGAGTGGGGTGGTGGAATTGATCACTTGGGAGACGGACATGTTTGGGAGTGAAGATCAGGTACGATAAACTGAACGGCAGCTGCATGTATCTGGCAATGAGGAGCTAGCGAAGCAGCGCCGCATTTTAGCTTGGTCCCACGATGAAGAAGAACAAAGGAAACGACCAAGACAAAGTCGTAGTAAGAGTAAGAGAGTCCGCTTTAGGAACATAGACTTTGATCCCGGCTAGCTCCCGGCTACTTTTAGCTTCAACTCTTCATCGTAACGACTTTGTTAGTGCTCTCGGCTTTCCTCACCGAGTCCTTTACAGGCGCTACGTACTGGATGCGGCTGACTCTTGCCTAATACTGCCTATGCAGAGACACTTTGACTGGTGCAATTACTGCTCTAATGTGGGCGGCCGTGGCTCTGGGCATTCAAGTTTGCATAAATCGTACTCGTTTACCTCTACACTCCCTTGCGCACCTTGGACCCTCTGTTGCTTCAAACTTCTTTTCGATTCCTGGCGCACTCGGTAGACTTTGCCTGGCAATACACCCACCGCTCTGCCTCTTGTTTCAGTAACCCAGTGTAACCCAGTGTAAACCCACCTTAAGCTTCGGGGCAAGTATCCTTACAGCTAAACCACCACGGATGCTCTCCGTAAGCGCATATAATAATATACAGCGGCGAACGGATGTTTTTCTTCAATGGTGCAGTGTGCTCGCCTGTGCTCGCGACGCCGCCCATGTTTGTCGTATTTCATTGCATTGCTGCCAGCTCGAGGGCCATCCTCTCATTTCTCGCCTCCTCTTGGCTAGCATTGCCACATCCTCTTCTCCCTCGGTGGAATGTGCCATCTCCCGCCTTGGCTGCTTTCCTCCATCACCGCCTTTTCTTGTTTTGGCTCAGTTCGTCTGGTGTGTCGATTTCGTGCATTCTATAATAAGTCTTCCCTGAGCATACAGACACCGACTTGGTCCGCTTCCAATGTTCGCCATTTCAAGAAATCTTTTGAAGTCCACTTTTGATCACGACTTGGTGCATTTGATCTTTTTTTCTTGAAAACACCTTTGGCTCATCTCAAAAATTCGAGGAAAATTCAAGAAGCATCTCATCTACCCAGACTACTTTTCTAGAGTCCGTGACTGAACCCTGAGAATGGCGCCATGCAGTAGTATAACGAGATCAATTCAACTTGTATCATCCATTGACAAATGCATTGTATGTTTTTTTCCCCTTTTTTTGGACGCAGTCAGAAGCACGAAGGATCTTACACTCAAGATTGAGTCTTTGGGCAACACACTGGTGGTGAAACGGTATCATGCTTGCCTTCCAATCGGCATCTCGCGAGCAAGCGGCAGGGGTTCGACTCCCCTTCAGTGTATATCGTTTTGCGCCAATCCCTTTTGCACGCCTACGATAACATAAGTTGCGTGTTCAGTAGCCTCGCCGCTGGAGTTAAGTTTGATCAGAGGAAAACAAAGGAAGTGGATAGAATGGAATGGAGGTCCATAATTTGGAAAAGCTGCGGGACACTAACGCTTCTTTGAGCACTGGCGAAGTAATCATTCACAGCATGTGGCATCGAGAAGCAGGATCACAAGCCACTCTGGTAACTTCTATAGATGTACAGCGCGATACTTATAGCCATTCTACTGTCTTTCGGGATATCAGCGGACGCATGTGGGGAGGTAAGGATGCGACATACTGCGGGAGGCTTGGACGATATATCATAAGTTATGCGGTTAATCCCCGCAACCTCGTTGGTAATGCGAGAAGATATGCGGCGTAGGACCTCCGGGGGGAAGACATACCTGCGCGAAGGTTGAGCAGATCAGATAACCGGACATATAAGAGCACACAGAACACACCAGTCCGCGGTCATAAAGTCTTCGGTTTGAACTGCACGAAGGGCGATGACCTGCGTAAAAGTCAATAAACATATCGTGATGAACGCAGTAAGTAATCACCTGTTCGTACGTGCGGAGGTCACCCATTACGCCGACGGCTTTGACAGGGAGGAGAACGGCAAACGCCTGAGCGATCTGGTCGTACAGACCCGCCTTTCGGATCTCCTCGATGTATATGTTGTCCGCTAGTTGTAGGATTTTTACTTGTTCCCGTGTTACGGGTCCCAGAATCCGAATCGCGAGACCTGGGCCGGGGAACGGATGGCGTTGGACGAGTGGTGCTGGGATCGCAAGAAGGCGACCGAGCGCACGAACTTCGTCTGAAGATAAATGAGTCGGGCAGCTCCTCTCCATGAGAAATTTGAGATTACCCTTGAACAGTTCCCGAAGCGGCTCGATAAGCTTCAGCTTCATATCTTTCAGCAGGCCACCGACGTTGTGATGCGTCTTGATGGTGGCGCTGGGACCTTTGAAGCTGATGCTTTCGATGACGTCGGGGTACAATGTCCCCTGCAACAACCACTCGACTCGTCCTTTCGCGGCGGCGCCCTTTTTCTCTTCTTCGGCAGCGACCGCCTCGATTTTGGCTGCCTCTGCTTCAAAGACGTTGATGAAAGTGTTACCTATGATCTTGCGTTTTTGCTCGGGGTCCTCGATGCCCTCGAGACGCGACAAAAACAAGTCGGACGCATCGACCACCGTCAAGTTGACGCCCAGGTCCTTGTTGAGCATTTCGTTCACTTGTTGCGCCTCGTTTAAGCGAAGAACGCCGTTGTCGACCATGATGGCATGGAATCTGAACACTATGAGCTACTTTTGATATTGAAGAGAGAATTGAGCAGACCTGTCTCCAATGGCTTCGTGCATAAGCTTAGCAGCGACGGTGCTGTCGACGCCCCCACTTACAGCCCCAATTACGCGGCCAGTCGGGCCACATATTTCCCGAATCCGAGCAACTTCTTTCCCAATGAACTCCTCCTAAAGCACAGTCAGCACCGAACGACAACGGCATTATAGATTACCATCGTCCAGTGCCTTTGGCAGCCACATATATTCAGAATGAAACGACCGATAACTTCCTTGCCGCGGGGAGAATGTGTGACTTCGGGGTGGAATTGAATGCCATAGATAAGCTTGGTGTTGTGTGCCAGCGCGGCATAGGGTGCCGTCGCTGTGTATCCGATGACATGAAAGTCGGGCGGCGGCGCTGACAGCTGGTCGCCATGGGACATCCACACCTTGTTGAACATGAATATCAGGTACCCGGGATCTCACAGAAACATACCTGCATCTCGTCCCCGAGCCCTTCAAACAAGGCATCGACTGACGCATGTTCTCCACCGATCTTTGCCATTTTCACCTGCGCAAACCCGTATTCTCTGTGGTCACATGGGTCCACTTTCCCTTCCATCTGCCATGCAATTTCCTACATGAGAATATTAGGGGAGGACGATGTAGAAAGAGTTTGGTCTACCTGAAGGCCATAACATATCCCCAGAATCGGGACGCCGAGGTCATAGATGCCAGGATCAGCGTGGGGGGAATCTTTATCATACACCGAGTACGGCGAGCCAGATAGAATTATTCCTGTCGCGAATTTACTTGGATGGGCAGCGAATAATACGAACGAGTACAGCTCCGACCTTTGGGTTTGAACTTGACGTCCTTCAACAAAGTGGTACAAGGCAGCAGCTCAGCGTAAACATTGTGCTCGCGGCATCTCCGCGTAATCAAGTGACTATACTGAGTTGGGGGTGAACAAAAGATCCTCAGCAGGCAAGATGGCCAGAGCGACCTGGGAGCCGAAATCCAGAATAAGGATTGTATCAAACTGGTCGTGGATCTCAGCCATCTAGCTTAAGCCTGTTAGCCGTGAAGAAAGCAGCTTTTTCACTTTATCGTAGTAGTGGACCGTGGTAGTTGACTCGATCGAGAAAATTGCAGTCACGGCAGACCGTGACGTGAATCACGAATCCAGAAATTGAAATTCGTGATCAAGCTATAGCACTAGTACTCAAGTTTTAGACTGCAGACACACTGCAAGGTCCTCAGCCCAAGTTACTGCTTAGAAGCCAAATTTTTCCCGCGTAAATTGTCCAACGTCAATTTCGTCTCTTATATCTTCAAACTCGGATAATCATCGCAGAGAAGACTGATCCCAGCAGCGCGATGCGGGGCTTGCAGCGCATTTGCCGCAGACGGCGTGCCTCGATGGCGCTTCAAGGTTGCGGGTAAGGATGGGCTGCCGGGCGGGATAATTGCGACTCTTGGTACGAATGGGAGTCCGGTAAGCTTTATTTGGAGGTATTCCGAGAACGAGTTCACGGTGGTCCCGATGGAACACCGAGGACCACATACCTTGAACTGGAACGGACGGTGGCTTGTACGGGGACGGGATTTTGGCGGTCCGACCGAGGCCGCGAGACTGGATGATATTCTTGCTCCAATGCTAAACGATGTGCCGCAGCCAATGCACCTATCTTGACCGACGAACATCTGGATCAAGTTCCGAGTCGAGATCCTTTTTGCCGTCGAATGTCGAGCAAGACGATTTTGTGCGAGTTTGGAAGTCAAACCAGACAGACTGCTTCAAGTTGCGGGTGCTTGTCCGTTTCCATCGTGAAACGATAGAATATGTTCGACTTTTGTTTCGGCAATTGAGGTTGGAGAGGAAAAGCGACCCTGAAGAGACCTGCTTTGTTAACCTGCTTAAAAATCACCGACGGCATGTACAACTTGGCCGGATGCGCTATCCCTCGTCCTCAAAGTCTGCCACTCCAAACCCGCCCGACGCAAGCTCGAGGCGGGTCGCGACGTCTTGCTTCTCAGCGACATCCATCTCCGTAACTTCCACGGGTGTTTCTACATCCAAGAAGTCCAAACAACCCCATAAACAACCCCTCCATTTCAAACAAACTTCGCCGCCGATGTCGACACCGGCGACGACGGACTCCCACGTGAATCGTTCTTCCGCTGGGGTCACAAACACCGATTCGTGAAGGTGGTGTGGGCCAGGACACGAGCCGAGGCTAGGTGCGTCGGCCTCGGCGACTACGTCGCTGTCAACACTACCAGGATGTATGGCGTGCAAGACGCCTCGCAGGTGCGGTGGGAGGACTTGTCGAAATTCCTTCTTGCCACAATCGGGCGAGCCGAGGCCAACGTCGGCTTCGCAGAGTGGAAGCACATAATATTTGCTGATTTGGCGCTCCGCGTCCACCTCCCTAGGGTCCGTCGAGAAAAGCGAGCGCAGCGCAAGCTCAACCAGAGGAGGGACACGATGTGCACTGCGGGAGGGTGGAGAGATTCCGACGCGCCGGCGGGGTTTCTCGCGATCGAACGGTCGTTTCGCTGACGACGAGCGCACTAGGTTCTCCATGAAATGATTCGGGAATAAGGTTAGCAGCTTGAGCTTCATTTCGAGCATCTCAGCTGGCAAGTATTCGAGCAAGTTGCCTGCTACGTTCAATGTATGCAGGTTTTTCAAATGCCGTATCTCCGGAGGTAAGCTCTTGAGCCTGTTTCCCCCTGAAACAATAGGTCAGAATCGCACACGTAAGTACTGGTGTGTACCCACTTAGGCTGAGGACCGTCAGCTTCTCAAGAGATAAGAGCTCGAGAGGAATTCTGGATATTTCGTTCCCAGCGAGGTACAGTTGGATGTCGTGGCGGGCGGAGCCGACAGCGCGTGAGCCCAGGATGGCAGGAGCGGTTATGGAGCGACCAAACTCCCGCGGTGCAGGGTGAGGATGGGCGAAGGACAGATTTTGCCGAGTCGCGTTCATATTTTCGATCTGCTCAGGGGGAACATACCAGTGGTGCAAATCTTCTACGAACTTTTTGGGGATCGTAGACAAATTGCAGCTTCTGTATGAGGTTGTGTTAATACGACGAACAGGAAATGAAGCCGACGGACTCGAGTTGTACAGTTCCATTACCATTATCGACCATTTTGTCGCTGGCCTCATCCCAGATGGCAGCCTCCTTCTCTTCTTCGCTTTCGAGCTTGGATTCGTATACGCGTGTCGGGGCTGCCACGATAGTTTCCAAGGATGACTCGGGGCCAATCAACCGCGGCTTTTTTGAGCGATTGTGCGTCGGAGAGGACGGCGACGCCGGCCGGTTTTTCTTCACACCCTTTTCATATTCGGGAGGGACCCACGGGCCTTTCGCCGCTGCCGCAAAGGGATCCATTGGAGGTGACGCGCCAGACGGACCGCCGCGCCAGTCCACATCCTGTAGTGAATCGTCGTGGCCGGGAGAGGACGCGGGGGAGGAGTCGTTATAGGCGGTGGGCGACGATGGGGGAGACGAGGAGGGAGCCGGATCCCAGCGTGGGCCACGGGCGTCGAACATGGACGCGAGGACGAGAGCTGTGATTCTGAACGCTGGATTCACGGTCACCTGACGATCAACAAACTGTAGTAATTAGATAAACGAAAACGCGTCGGAACTGGTTGAGTACGCAATGTCT